GGTTGCCGGGATGTCGCCACCGGCGCCGGCCCTTCGCTCCGTCAACACCCGCGAACTCTCGGAGGTGGTTTTCAACAACCGCAGCCCCCGCTCCGTCCTCCCCATCTGGGTGGATTTCGAAGGCAGGCCGTGTCACTACCCGGTCCTGCAGCCGCGCACCGGGCGGATCATACACAGCTACCGGGGTGGGTACGGCCGGGCTGAGGTAGGCCTCGCTCCCCGGTACCGTCTGGCGGGCTCATTTCTTCAGCGTTCCCCCTCCTCTGCGATAATCCCCCGTCATCAGGGACACCCCAGGCCACCAGGGTGGCGGCGGTGGCCTGTAAACGGGGAGAGGAGATGGGTTGCTGAGGGCTGCGCCTGAAAACTGTAAATAAAGTGAAAATAAAGAGTTGCCTTTCCACCTCGTTCTCTCCCAGGTCACCTCTGGCTATTCCGGGACGCGGGGACAAACGATGGCCTCCTCGTCAACCAGCAGGAGCTGTTCGTAGCTGCTCCCAATGTGAATAAGGCAGACATCACGCTGCCAGGTAAACCGAACGGGACTGCGCGTGTCGCGGGAACCGGTGAACTTCATACCGGATCTCTTTGGACTTCAGTGTAAAGGATCTAGTGAGAAATCAAGTATCTGAATAATGAATTCTCCTTACTCAGAAATGGGAAGAGATCATACGGGTTTCTAGACAGACCTGTGTCATTGCAGTGTATTCATTAGAGCTATTGACAGACCTCATTTGTGGATGTCTCTGATGGGTTTCGTAGGGCGCCTCATGACAGGAAAAAACAATTTCTTTCCTCTCTTTCTGGAGAGTTTAGCATGTTGTAAATAACATTGCTGCATGTTATGTTCTGTATTCATGTACCTGGAAAAGCACTGTCTGTGTTGGAGGCAGCAGCTAATGAGAGCCCTTGTGACAAGGTTCTCTGTGTGTTTTTATCCTCAGTGTTCACCCTGAAGGAGCGATGTCTCCAGGTTGTTCGCAGTCTGGTCAAACCGATGGACTACAGGAAACTGGACATTGTTCGATCGTTGTATGATGACCTGGAAAATCATCCTGATATTAGGAAGGACCTTCAGCGTCTTTCTCTGGAGAGAAGTGAATTGTTGAGGAACGGAATTCTGGAATAACATCATTACTCACTCCAGACTCTATTTAAATAGCAAACCACTGAGTTTAAGCAGGGATAGTCACCACGAAACATGCCAAGAACTAATGTCTGTATTTTAAGTTCTGAAACATAAACTCAGTTAAATTGTGGAAAACTTGCTGTGATGGTAAGTCAGATCCAAAACACTAAACTACACGTGGAAGCACACGAGGTTCTTGATGGTTCAGTTCCGTACTTTGTTAAGTGTATTGCAAACGGATGACTGTAGAGGCCTTGCGTGGGTGAAGCTCAGTTTATTTGGACTATTTCAGGACACTGCATAGGGACATAGATAGGGTCATCTCTTTGGAGAATATGCGTACAGATCAGCTTTCTTTGTATTAGAAAGTAAATTACACCGAGGATTAATTTAATCCCGACTGTAATGATTATAAGTGGCAGACCAACACCAGTTTTGCTTGAATAATTTGTGTTTGATGGAATTTCACTCTCTCACACTTAGCCTAGATTTGCCTGTGAATCACGAGGCGTGGGGGTGTTTGTGTGTGCAGGGTTTTCCACCACCGCCTTCTGAGGACCTGACCCAAAACGTTTTGTTGGTGGAAAGATGACATGTGTATATGCTTGGGATTTTTTCTGCCTCTCACCTTTGCATTTATAAACCTATGTCATATCTGCTCTGAGGCTGGCAGGTTTTTACACAGATCATACCGAATGCCTTATTTGTCCTTCATGATTGGTCTCTCGCCTGGTTGATCTCAAGGGGATCCAACCTAGCAGAGCGGGTCCTAGTTTTGGGGCACCTTTCTCCTCTGCAGCTGCTTCCCCAGCTGCCTGTACAGATAGATCAGGCAGCATTCCCAGAAGGCAGGTGCTCTGAATCCTACCTTTTCCCATTGCAGTGCAGTAGTTCAGGTTGTAGTGGGAGGCCTTGTCGGGGAGCGTGGACCACTCGCGTTGTTAGTGTCTCCTACGGAACAGAGAGCAGGCTGTATGAGCTCACACGGACCTGTCTCACAGACAGATCCATGCTGTATTACAGGCTGGGTAAGCAGAGAAAAGATTTCTTTACCTATATTCTGTTCCCCCCATACCTCAATTAGAATGTGCGTTTGTGTGAACGGACACACGCAATTCAAAGCAGCGTTGCTTTCAGCAGATAGATGAGTTGTCCACCAAGTGAGAGATGTAGTGCTGTTCAGTGTTAGAAGCAGGGTGATAGGAGATTATAGCAGGTTATTTCTGTGGCATACATTTCTTTCCAGTTATACACTCTAAGAAACAGCTGTGAAACTAACTGAGAATATCAATGTATTCTGTAAGCATCAAATGCCTCCCCTTTTTGTAGACTTGTTTTTTCTTATATATTTGAAGTGTATAAATTGATCTTTGTCATAAAAATGTAAATACATTCTAACTTTTTTACTCTAATTCTGTCAAATAACTTCACAGTGCTCGTGACCATGTGCTTGTATTCCTGCAAGACTCCTGACAGTGGTTCTAGCTGATCAGTAACAGACACTTTTGGATTGCGTTTACAAACCGTTCAGCCCCCTGTTGCTGCAGGACTGCTTTGTGGCTATCACTAAATTGTTATCGCAGCTCTAGGCAGTGTCTGTGCGTGAACGTAGTAGCTACATTACAATTTCTGCTTTTACCACCGTTTGCAGATCTCTTTCAGAGAAAAGTGAGCCTGTGCAGGCCTCGGGAGCAGGCGTCAGCACGTCACCCAGCTCCTAGGGAGCCCTTAGGGTAGAGGGTGCCACACTCAGCTCCTGCAGGTGCAGTCCTACAGGTACCTGAGAGGAATTTCTCTCCTGATGTCCTTGTGATGCTGTGCGTTATGATGGACGGGGCAGCACTGGCAGCCAGTTGCAGAAAACTGGCCTGCTTGACTCCGTAGTTTTTCTTTTAATGTAGTAGGTATTACGTCTTAGGTTTAACAGATGTGTACCTATCACAAACGTTCTCTGATTTATGTGGGGTCTGTGATCACTTCTGTTGCTTATTAGAATAATTTAAATTTATTCCCTTAGCCTGTGACTTCTTCCAGTATACAGCCAGTCGGTGATACTTTTCTAGTACAATGTTTATCACTGCTAATGGATCAGATTCCTTGGATTCCTAAATGTTACAGGACAGAAAAGCATAACTATGTATCTGTGACTTGCCAAAAACCAACATAAAAAACCTTCCACTTCATGATCTCATCACTCATAGCAGTACCCTGTCTTTGCTTAACTTGTAGTTACATCTAAGGCAACTGAAGTCCTTAGCTAAAGAGCAGCTCCTGGTAGGCAACAATTAGTTGTGGATGCTTTGTGTTAATTTGCTGTGATTCAGCCCATTTTCTAAGGGACGTTTTCTGTCCACTCTTTCGAAGATTGATTTGAGGGTGGTTTGTTACCGTGTAGAAATGAACCAAAGATCCATCGGTCCATGGACAGCCTGACCGATGAGGGTACACCAAAGCGGGAGTGTTGGGTTGTTACTCAAAGACTGTTCAGTTTAAATTGCTTAAAAATGCAGAAACAATTGCCAGGGTTAACGCCATCTTCCAACTATGTGCTGTAATCTGCAGTCGCTTATCTACACAGTCACTCTACCACCTTTCCCTCACCAATTTGTGTTTTAAATGTGAAACTGATTTGATTCTTCAGAGGACTGTGTGCATTTGCCCCCAGAACCCCAAGTAGGTGGCAGCATTTCACTGAATCCTTGAGGTATGCGACTCCCAGGACAGGAATTTTACGAACCTGGAATTTCACAAACCCTGCTTCAGCTCTTTAGCTGTAGCATTTCGCTTAAGCAGAGATGCTGCCCTTGCACATCAGGCCAGCTGCTGCCAGTCCCCTCCTGCGGTGGCAAATGCCTCATGGGCGGAGCAGAGGCTGGACAGGGACTTTTGGATTCCGCAGCAGGCAGCTGTCCCTAAGTTAGGAACTGTAGCATCTGGTTTTTAGTACCAAAGTGTATTATTTGGATGTAGCTTCAGAACTTTATACTGTCATTTCATTCTGCCAACAGTGGCGAACTACTCTTTGCACAGCCACTAAGAGTAGGAAGTACTTTCTTTTTAAAATAATGATTGCCTCTTGCTTAATATACAGCAAGAGGTAATCCATGCTTGAAATTTTATACTTTCCCTAGACAAGCTAACAAAGGAAGTTCTACTTCCATTTTGCAGATTAAATTGAGTTTTCCAGAGTTTTGCAAGAAGTCTGGGAGAGGAAGGGACTGAACACAAATGCGAAGTCCGAGGCAGGACCCTGCTCACGCAGCTGCCTCCCCTATTCCTCCCACAGCTCTCTTCTTGCAACGGGGTTACATTCTCTTGTGATATGAATTCTGTAACTACTTAGCTAATTTTAGCTCTCGCGTACCATCTAAGTGTTGATTTTCCTGTTGACAAATAATGAAATACCTTTTTTTTTTTCCATACATCACGTTAAAAAACTTAGCAATTTCCTCTACAAGATGAGAAGCACTTAAAAACAGGTCTCACAAATAGCTGACGAGGTTTTGTTTTTACAGACCACTGAGTCACACCTGATGCTACACTTGATCCTCTTGCCACAGTCTGACAGTACTGTTACAGGTCCTGCTGGTTCTGTCTTGTCTTTTTAACCAACATGGCAGTGATTGCGAGCGTGTTAAGTAACACCTTCATTTAGCAGGGCTAGGCATGAGTCAAATATTCAAATGCTCACAAGATCCTACCATGGACTAGTTCAGTAATAACATCAGCCAGCTGTGGGGTTTTTTTTTTCCTTTACTTAAAGGCATTCTAGCATAAAAAAAAAATGGATTATATCTTGTTTGTTATAAATAAACAACAAAACCAGATGTTATAGATAGGTAAACTTCTGGAGAAATGCTCAACATATACAAGAAAGTGTATTTCTTCTGTTCTGGAGGGCTCCTTTCGGTCAGAATAAAAAAAAGAGCAGAGGGAAGCCCAGCTGGCTCTGAGAGATGGACATTGGAAAATGGAGCCTCCTACGAGTTACTCAGCTTGATTAGTAATGAGGGAAAGTTGTCCTTTACTTGTGACAACTACATGAAGAATGTGGGTGGTTTTCAGTGGGAGTCGGAGCGCTGTCTCATGCGCCGGTCACCGGAGCGGCGTGAGCTGGGCCAGAGAGGGGACACCAGGCTGACAGTCCCCACTGGACACCAGGGCTGTGCGCGGGGCGGTGGGAATGTGCTGCTGCGGGGAGCTGGGGGTGAAAAACACCAGAGAAATCAATCACCAGCTGTGCTGACACGTGTTCCGTGTCCAGGGGCTCCAGGAGAGCACTGCATCTGTCTTTTGACCTTGTAGCTACATTAATATCACATTTTTCAGCTTTTCCTTGCCACAATGGGGGTAATAAATTCATTGTTACTTTAATGGTACTTGAAAGGTTCATGATTTTGGCGGCAAGAAGTATAGAAAACTGCCAACGTTTGAAAGTGTGATACTGAAATCAAGAGATAACTGTACTGTGAAATATATGCAGATTATAAAAAAATAGTAAATTAAAAGCTCTCAAAAGTTACAGTGCTCTTTGCAGTTAATCCAAAAGACCTAGGGCTGAACGTGAGCAAAGAGGACAGGAGGAGGACTCGCTTACAGCGATGTACAAACTGCCCCGCCATGGCAGGTGCAGCTGCAAGGCTCTCCAAGTGGATCATTTTGCCAGAAGGATTTGTAGCAGGTACACTGGCTAATTAATTAACTACAAATTTTCATCAAAAGCAGGTTAAATACAACAAAAAGGGAAAATCTAAAAAATTAGAAAAATTGTTGACTTTAACAGATTTCAAGCCTAATCCTTGACTAGCAAGACCCGGCCATATCACCGCTTCTGATGTTTTGTACTTCTCACCCCCTGCGTCTGCGCCCGGACTGCGCGCAGCTCCTGAGACCTGTGCACTGCAATGGTTGTACAACGCTGGTGACAGACTGACAGCGGGGTCACAGCTCAAATTGCCGGGGTGCTTTTGCTGCCCGCTCTGTTGGTACGTGTTCCTTTG